CAATTTCTGGCGTTCACCCACACATCAATGCTGCCTCCCAGCTGCTGCTGCCACGGACAGCCATTAGAGGAACCTACACTGAATTGAATGTCATAGAGCCAAAGTTAACTCTCAGTGTTACAAGAGTAACACCAGGATCATTAAGGCCGGCTTGGGCTCCACGCAGTGCTTTGTCTGCGACAGGATTACAGCCCTCTGAGTGGGAACTGACGCTGCGAGCTAACAGACTTCAGCTTGAATGCTCAGGGTTACAAGGCAACGAAACAGAAATAATGCAACTCCTCATGCTTACTGCGTGCTGCTCCCAAGAAGAGTCAATCCAAGCACCAAATCTGAAGGCAAGCGACCCAGGAGTTGATTTCACAGTGTGAAATCTTACTACTGCAGGTAATATAAATAGGTAACGCGTACCTACATAGAATCTCTGAAACAATTCCATTGCTTTTCTGTCTGTGTTGTAAGGTAATTTCCAGAATGGAACTGTGGCTCTGACAGCCTGACTGCAGCCACCCCACCACTGCACTGCATGCAGCAGAACCAGATGGAGGCTTGCTGTTTTAAAGCTGCCACGTTACTTTCCCATTGAAAAGGTATATGCTGCTATTTTAAAACATCCAGGGACCAAAACATGGAGGGACAGCAGAGCAATTGGCTGAAACAACATGCTGGGAGACAAAGGACAGCCACTGCCTCAGCTCTGAGGGAGAACTAACGTTTCACTCTTGTATTTCCTGAGCAACGCAACATTCCTTTCATTCTTCATCACCTTAGGAATCAAATTTAGCATTACATGCTTAAAGCCTGAATGCTCATCCCCAGAATTAATTTGGCTAATTGCCTAACCTAACGAAGACCTCATTAAACAAGACAAGAATCAAACTGTGAGTTATTTGTATTTAGTCCTGATTCTGAGCGCCAACATTCACGAAGTCAAACAAGGAGGGCTCTAAGAAACACCTCCTTCATAGTACAAAGGCAGACCCTTGTGTGGGCTCAAGGCTAACAGCTTTAGAATCAGTTCTGTTCACAACAAAAATCCAACGTTTTAAAGAAAACGACGGCGGGGTGAGGAAGTAGAAAGCACAAAAACATTGCGAAGCATCCCGCTGTGTCACTCCAGTGGTCCAGGCAAAGCTGTGAGCATCAGATGGTGTCTGGGGGGCACAGCACCACGGCCACCCCTTGGGTAGCTCCCCAGCATCCAGTTTTCACACCACAGGTTCCCCCAGCGGTGCGACACAGCAGAGGTTTCATGTTTCCATTTCACACAATTCCATTTACAATTCTGTATTTTGCAAAAAACAAAAACAAATCAGTCCAAGAAAGGCTGAATGGCACCTGAACAAAGCATTTAACTTCCAAAATTTGAGATTTCACTCACATAGGAAACAAACAAGCCTCTGAAGCGAGACTTCTGGTTTCACACCGCATCAGCGGTCTTTCCTTGAGAAGAAATCTACTGAACCTTCCAAAAACACGACGGACTCCCACAGTGACCGGCAGGACTGGGATCCCTTCGCGAGCAGATAACGTGGCAGCAAACACAAAAACACTGACGCCTCAGCGCACGGAGCCCCTCCATCAGAGCTAAAGCCAACAGCCCAACCTCGGAGCCGTACGCTACGAGGCCTCAGGGCGGAAAATATCCTAAAATACGCTAAAATCCTCTTATGACAACGGCGAGAACTTAATTCCCCAACGAACCTCGAGCACCGGCAGCGACGTGCCGGCCTGCAGAGCCGCAGCCCCGGCCGGCAGCGCCAGAACAGGCCGCAGCCCCGGCCCGATCCAGCGCGGGGCGAGCAGAGAGCCCCGAGCAGCAGCCGGGCCTCGGAGAGCCGCAGGACGACCCGAAGGAAGCCGAGCCGAGAAGGGCCGAGGCGAGGAGAGCCGCCCGCCCGATCCGGCCCGGGTCGCACGGAGCAGAGCCGGCGTGGGCTGCGACTCACCAAGGAGATGGTCGTTGTGGCCGCCATCTTGTCCACCCCGTCGGCGATCGGCACGAAACTCTCGCGAGAACCTTCAGGAGCGCGCAGAGGGGTAACTCTCGCGAGAGGTCCTGTAGAAAGACTTGGGAGAACATCTCGCGAGAATGTGGGTGAGAGCGGGCGGGACGACAGAGTTGGCGCCAGCCTCGCTCTGCTTCCGCTTCCGCTGCCACCCACCCGTCGCAGAGCGCCCCCTGCGCGTTGGGCGGAGCGCTGAGCCCGCGCTGTGTGTTGGGGGCGTGCGATGGGTGCTGATGCGCGACATGGAGCGGCTGCAGCACTGTGACCTGTGCCGTTCTGCTCTTCCTCTCGGGTGGCCCAGTCTTTTATGCACAGATTTAAATGCACGGGCGAAGTCAGACCAGTGGAAATGTTGATTCTGCCGCAGAGGGTGGAAATGCCACAGGAGTTTTACAGATCCTTAAGGTTCTGATCAACGATTCAGAAAGTTCAAGCCAGTAAAGCTTCCTGAAAGCCGTGCGACGACTTGACATCTCAGTGCTGATGGTCAGGAAGTTCTGCACTGCAAAGCATCTTTTTTTCAGCTAGCAGAAAAGGTGCAACGTCTGAATCAGAACACAAAACCAATCGGCCTTCTTTCTAGCCTGAATTTGAGAGCAGGTAACCACTGGCAGGCATTCATTACTGAGGCTCAGCGGATTCCTACACCGTGCAATTGCTAATGACTGTAGATCTTCCAGAACACCTTCTAGTAGATCTAACAGATCTTCTAGCAGATACTGTGCAGGATGCAGAGCACATGGCAGCCGGGTGGCCAAGGAGGCCGATGGCATCCCGGCTTGTGCCAGGCACAGTGCAGCCACCAACGCGGGAGGTGCTCATCCCTCTGTACTCAGCTGTGGGGAGGCTGCACCTCAGCGCTGTGCTCAGTTGGGCCCCCACTGCAGGCGAGACGCCGAGGCCCTGCAGCGTGCAGAGAAGGGCAGCGGAGCTGGGAGGGTCTGGAGCACAAATCCTATGGGGAGCGGCTGGGGGAATGGGATTTGTGCAGCGTGGAGAAGAGGAGGCTCAGGGGACCCCTATTGCTCTGCAGTGACCCGGGGCACTCAGAGAGGGAGGCTGTGGTGAGCTGGGCTCGGCCTTTGCTCCCGCGTAGCAGCGACAGGACGAGAGGGAATGGCCTCAGGCTGAGGCAGGGCAGATTTGGGCTGGATTTGGAAAAACTCCTGCTCAGGAAGCTGCGCCGGGCTGCACTGGGGGGCGGTGGAGTCACTGACCCTGGAGGGGTTGAAGGAACGGTTCGATATCCTGGGGACGTGGTTCTGGGGGCAGTGATAGGCGGGAGGTTGGGCTGCGTGATACGGATGTCTTTTCCAACCTTTGTGATTCTGTGTTTCTATGTGCCACACCACAGCTATGATACACGGACAGGAATTTCAGGCACTGTGAGCTGACAGACCTGACCATCGGTGCCAGGGACACATCCCCCCCTTGTCTGGCAGGACCGTTGTCTGACTTGCACAGCACAAACAAACATGAGGGCAGCATTTCCATTCTTGTGCTGGTGACAGCTCTGCAGAGGCAGCCATGCACGTCTCTCTGGATGCTGAGCTGTGGGCCTGCAATACTCCTGCAGCAAAGGAGGCCCATGGCCACCTGGGCTGCCCTGGGAAAGCCTCATTAACTGGCTGAGGGAAGAACCTCTCCTCTCCTCTTTGAGGTTCCCTCAAAAGCACAGAGCCCATGAAATGGAGCGAGCCCAGCGCAGACAGCCTAGATGGCAAAGGGCCTGGAGGGTGCACGGTGGGAGAGTCTGAGAGCTGGGATGGCTGCACATCAGCGTGAACAGATGCCTGATCAGTGGGTGAAGACTCATGGAATCACAGAACAGGTTGGGTTGGGAGGGCTTTTAAAGTCCACAGAACGATCGAGTGGTTCGTATGGGAAAGAACCTTAAAGATCATCCAGTTCCAATGCAAGAAGCTGGAGCTAGGCTGTTCTTGGTGGTCCCAGCACCGGGGCAAGAGGCTGAGCAATGGGCCCAAATTAAAAAACGGGGAAATCTTTTTTTCACTGAGGTTGGCTGAACACTGGTTACCCGCGGGTTATCCAGGCAGGCTGGATGTCTCCACCCGTGGGGGTTCTCAGACCTGACATGGCACTGGGCCACCCAGCACTGGGCTGGAGGACCGCTCAGGGCGGCCCTCACCAACCTCAGATCTCCTGTGGCGCTGTGACTGCTGCCTGACGTGTGCATGAAACACCCTGTGGCTGCCAGTTAACACACTTGTAACTGCTGATTGCAGCCAGCAGGAGGGAGATCCATCGCTCAAGCTGAGCTGTAATGACATTCAGAATTGAGAATGAGGGTGAAGGGTGCTAAAGAGCTCACCGGCTGAGCAAGGAAGCAGCAGCTGGTGTATGAAGGCACTTCTTAGTTTGCAAAGGCAAGTGCAAGCTTGTCCAGGACAAAGCAATTTCTGCATCACGCAGCTGAATGCTGCTTTTCCTGCGAATGCCTTCTCTATCCAATCTACCCGACTTTGCTGGGTCAGCGTTGAACTCGAGGAAGCTGCTTCACTCTTGTTAACTCTAAGAGTGACCAAGAGACCACCGGGTGCTCGCTCAGCAGACCAGCTCCTGGCGTGAGGTAAGCTGCTTGCAATGGCTTTATTGATTTGTCAGTTCTGTCAGGCCGGCACAGCGCAGCACGACTGGGGAACACGGCACAAGTGGCAGCTCGGCACAGCGGCGCAGCACGGCGGCCCCAGCCACACAGCCGGTGCAGCACCACGCGGCACGAGGCGGGCGATGGAAGACTTGGCACAGCGCAGCGCGGCAGCAGGGCTGCTCACAGCACAGCTTTCACTACACGAATAATCTCTATTGCTGATTTTTACCAATGGAACCCGATGGGCAGCAGCTACGATGGCGCCTTTCTATGCACAAGCGATGGAAGTTCCAAACACCCCAGGACACGCAGGGAAGGAAGAGACATAGGGGTTTTTCCCCTTAGGATACCATAAGATTTTTGAAGGCCGTGAGACAAACAGCAGTGAAAATGGTTCTGTTCAGCACCAGTGACGTTTCTGCTGTTCCCTGTGTTGGGATCCAGCTGGGTTTGGGTTGCTGCAGTTTCTTCTCCTGCAGCGCCAAGTCCAGCTCACAAAGTCCACCTGTCAGCTTACAGCAAGATGCGAGCTTCTAACTGAAAGGCATCACAGCGGTTCAGCTGTGCGTGGGAAACCTTAACAAAACATCAGGAAAAGGAGATAGAGGATGGAACGTGGCAGGTGGCAAACTGCGCTGGAGCTTTCCTCCCTTCCGCACCCATCACCAGCTGGCAAAGAGGAAAAAAGAAAGAGCTTTAGGACCCACAGTGAGAAAAGCTTATCACTCCCAGAGGCAAATGCATCAGTCTGTGGGACTCTTGCAGCAACTCCACATCTTCACAAACACCATCAGCGCTCCCCCAGGCCCCACAGCTACCCTGGATTGCCTCTCCAGGAGCAGGGGCCGGGGCACGTGCTGGTGCAGAGGCCATTCCTTGTGTTACAGCTGGTTGCTATTCCGCTTGCTGTTGTCTTTCCACGCCACAGCAAAGGCATACAGACTCTCACGGACTGCAAAGATTCAGTCTGGAGCGGCCCCGCTGGAGGAGTTGGTTCCAGAGCCCATGGCTGCTCCTTGCTGGGTATCGTGCCCGTCCCCACAGCGCAGGGACCCCACTGCCCCAGGGGTGACTCACAAGGGAGGAGACCGGTGCTTGTGGAAGGCATTTTCCAGGAAGTTAGCCAGTTTCTCACAGTCATCCTAAATATAGAAGAAAAAGCAAGCCGACAGATTAGTTTGCCACGCTTTTTCCAGCACACAGGAGAAAGCACTCTGCTGTTTCAGTTCCAAGCTGTGCAGTTGCTGTGCTCAGGTGAAGAAAAGAAGGAAGCCTGAATACACTTTTTTTGTTTCCAGGCCTATTCACATTTATTTTTCAGTGAGTGAAGCTAAACCCTGCCTTGTCTGATCCAGAATGAGAAACGCTTCAAAGCTTTGCCTACAGCCCCAGAATCCCCAACTTGTACAAAACAGAAAAATAAACGCATTTTTCATTTTCCCCACACTCCTTTGCCCTGAGGCCACGCTGCCCAAATGACTGCGCAGCTCTGCGTTCCTCCTTGAGTCCGTCTGCAGACACCAAGGGAGAGCCTGGAAGGGGCAGTGCTGCTGTAGGGCACTTCTGACAGGGAGAAGTTTGCAAAGTGACCTGAGAGCAGCGTGGGCTGCTGGGTCCTGGCCGCTTCTCCCTGGCACGGCTCAGGCTTTCACATTCAGAAAGGCAGGGAGTTGATGCAGCGAGTGTGGTGAGCTGTCACTGCTACATGGCTGACCCTTCAGAACAGCAGGAGCAAAGTGTGGAGCCCAGAAAAATCAAGCAGAGAAGCACTGAGCAAGGGCACGAGTGCAGCACAGAGCTGCAGCCTGGGCCCCGTGGCCCAGATGGGGAATAAGACAGGAGGCATCAGGCTGTGCGGCACACAGCGCGCGCTGACAGTGGCACGGCGCACGAGCAGCCTTACCTCGTGGATGAACCCGTAGTGCACCAGCTCTGTGGCGAGGTCCTTGGAGTTATCAGCTGCAGAGGGAAGGAACAGTGAGAATGTTGGTGCATCCCAGCTCGTCCCCTCCCAACAAAGCGCACCTCTCCAGCCCAGCTGCGCCCCGTTGCGCATTAGGGGCACGCACTGCGTGCTGCCGCTCACAGTTCTGAGGACGCTGGGGCCAACAGAGCAGAGAGGGGAGTGGGTGAGAGGCAGGACTGAGCTCCAGCCCCACATCACACAGCACAATGCCTTGGCAGTGTGTCACTGGCAGGTCTTTGAGCTTGCCATGGTTGGGCTCAGCATGAAAAGGAAGCGGGCCGCTTCCTGCAGGTAGGAACAGGACGAGCTGGCGGAGCAGCAAATCCCAAGCGTCAGTTTCCAAGCTTTGTGTTTTTGTTCTTCCTGTAAGGGACTCCAGCTGTGCAGCCTGCAGAGGGCTCCTGCACACCTTAGGAAGGAGCTGCTGCGTCAGACCGGCCCCAGGAGAAGTGCCCTGCCCCAGGGCCATGGGGTTCCCCAAGAGAAGAGCGCAGCAGCTCCTTGGAAGGTGCTGTGGAGACTGCCCCAGAGCTGGGAAAAGGCAAAGAATGCACTCATTCACTGGGATTGCCCCAGTCACACATCTCTGGGTTCAGTGCACGCTCCTGATGGCCACGGGACTCACAGAGTTCACTTCAGCTGCAGGTTGGCACCGCGTGCCAAAGGCAACAAGAACGGTGCCACAGGGATATGAAGTTTGGTCTGCTCTCCCAGCACAAGGAGGGGAGAAGAGCTGAGTGCAGGCACAGTCTGTGCCTAGCCCTAACCCCAAACCTGACCAGGGCTTCCAGTTCATGCACAAGAAGCAAGGAGACCTACTGGGCAGCAAGTCGTAGCTCAGCTGTCGGTGCAGCTTGTCCTCCAGGATCAGCAGGAGCGTGAGCTGCAGAGAGAAGAGAGAGCTCTGTACATTCATTGTAAGAGACAGTATCAATGCTGGAAGCTGCTGGCAGGGCGAGCAGGGGGATGCTGGTCAATGCCAACATGTGGGGTGTCTTTGGGGCATAGTTTGGGTGACTCAGAGAGATGCTCTCTCTGTTAAACTGGAAAGAAGCAGAGCTAAGAGGTGTCCAAAGACGTCATGGACTGCTGTAGCTTTGCTCTTCTCTGGGCTTCTTTTGCCTCGGACAGAAGAGCAGGTCCTGTGGGTCCTGCAGCGAACTGAGACCAAGGGGTGCCGTGCTGCAGAGAACAGATGCTGCTCGTCGCATCCTGGTGGGGCTGTGCACTCACATGCCACTGAGTCTTGTCCTCATTCAGCTCCATGTTGCATTGCATCTGCACCACCTGGAAGAGGCCAAAGTGAGCGTCAGCCTGGGCACAGCCCCTTGAACTCCCCCAGGTCTGCTTTGCTCCTGTTTTCCAAGCACAACTCTCAAAATCCCACTTAAAACCCAGCTACCAGCCTGACCTTCTCCTCTGCCCGCATCTCCAGGTGCTGTCCAGAACAGCCGAGGGCTCACTGAGCCCAACAGCCGGTCACAAACTGCCATCAGCTGATGAAAGGCTGGGTGGGAGCCGTGCAGGAGGTGCATTTCAGGGGCAGCATTACATCAGGATGAATTCCTCTGCTTTATTTGTCTGGGTGGGTTTTCCCCTTGAGGCTCTGCCCAAACTCTGGGTTACATTTCAGTGCTGTGCTTTAGTTCATGTCCCTGAGGGATGACAGCTTCTTAAATCAGACAACAAACCAAACCGAAATGTTCAATACTACTGAAATGGTGTGGAGTTCCTTTTGGGAACGCTGCATTGCACTGCAGCACACTGAAATTAAACAGACCAGCACGGCTTTTCCTTAATAACTCAGCTTCAAGCTCCAGCACGACGACGCACCCATACACTGAGTAACTCCAGAGATGCTTTGTTGGTGTGCAGAACTGCCCCGCATCCTGCACACATCACTGAGAACACCGATGGTAACTGAGTGCATCGCTGCCACCTGCTCCCAGCTCTCCCTCCCCAATGCCCACAATCATCATCCTGTGGGAAGGGACATCAGGAGCTCTCTAGACCCCCCCCCAGCCCAAACGAAGGCAGTGAGATCAGAGGAGGCTGCCCAGCATCACTTTGCTGCCCTCCTTTGAGCCTGTTGCAATTTATCGGTGTCTTTCTGTGTTGTCCAGATGCAGAACAGTGGCAGCGTGGATGTTCCGTTGCTGAGCACGATCCCACTCAGCCTATGCAGTTTTATTCAGTCTGCTGCATTCAGACAGATCTTAGCAGTCAGAGGGAACGAAGGCATTTGGCTGCTGAAGAAAGCAGTGCTCCGGGGAAGCACAGGGAGTTCTCACCCTGAACTCCTGACCTGCTCCAGCACAGCAGAAAGCAGCCGTGCTCCCTCTGAGATGGACATTTCCATCGGTCCTCACCTCCTGTAGCTGACTTTGCGCTCTTGATGCAGCTCAAATATTTGGTTCCAGAGCAGAGGAGGTGATGGCTGAGCTGTGAGCCGTGCAGGACCCGCACGTCATTGCCGCCTCTCTCATCTCCTCTCACTCTCACTTCTCTTTCTCAACTTTTTTTCTGCTTTTCACATCTCTTCTGCTTGCTAAACGGAGCGGTACAGATGGAGGCCTCCATCAGGCTCCTCCACTTGCAGCACTGGAACCTCGCACCATGCACCCCTGAGCGCCCTCTGCCACCTTCCCCAGCCTGGCTGCTCTCTGATCTCATACCAAAGAGCTGAGCCCACAAACAAGTGTGTGGGCCACAGGAACATCCAAAGGGTTGATGTGCATGCTATAGCCATGGTCCTAGGCAAACTGCTCTGGGTGGCACAGCTTGAGGAGGGAGACTGGACATCGAATCTCAACTGTGATCCCACGTGAAAACACACAACCAATTGTTCAAAGCTCTTAGGATACACCTGAGTCGTGCAGAGACCATCAAGAAGTCTCCTGCCAGCCCAAGCTGAGCCACTGAATCATGGAAACAACGAGGTTGGAAAAGACTTCCAAGATCCCCACATCCAACCCCATCCCATCCCATTCCACCCCATCCCACCCCATCCCATCCCATCCCATCCCATCCCATCCCATCCCATCCCCTCCTCCCCATCCCACCCCACCCCATCCCACCCCATCCCACCCCACCCCATCCCACCCCATCCCATCCCATCCCATCCCACCCCACCCCATCCCATCCCATCCCATCCCATCCCATCCCATCCCATCCCACCCCATCCCATCCCATCCCACCCCATCCCATCCCATCCCACCCCACCCCATCCCATCCCATCCCATCCCATCCCATCCCATCTCATCCCATCCCATCCCACCCCACCCCATCCCACCCCATCCCATCCCATCCCATCCCATCCCATCCCATCCCATCCCACCCCACCCCATCCCATCCCATCCCACCCCATTCCACCCCACCCCATCCCATCCCATCCCATCCCATCCCATCCCATCCCATCCCATCCCATCCCACCCCATCCCATCCCATCCCATCCCATCCCACCCCACCCCATCCCATCCCATCCCATCCCACCCCATCCCACCCCATCCCATCCCATCCCACCCCACCCCATCCCCTCCCACCCCATCCCATCCCATCCCATCCCACCCCATCCCACCCCACCCCATCCCATCCCATCCCATCCCACCCCACCCCATCCCATCCCATCCCATCCCATCCCACCCCATCTCACCCCATCCCATCCCATCCCACCCCACCCCATCCCATCCCATCCCATCCCACCCCACCCCATCCCATCCCACCCCATCCCATCCCATCCCATCCCACCCCACCATGCCCACCGACCATGTCCCCATGTGCCACGTCTCCACCATTCTGGGATGGTGACTCCCCAGCTTCCCTTTGCAGCTGTGCCACTGCATCACTGCTCTTTGCAGGTGAAATGCTTCCTAACATCCAGCCTGAGTCACCTGCACAGGACAGTAATGCTATCTCAAAAGTTCTAAAGCAACCTAGGAAGCACGCTGCTCCACACAGGTTCATCATGGAGTGAGGAAACATCTCCCTGCAGTGCATTTAGCATGCCTAAAGAGGCTGGAAACTTCTCTTCCACTTAAATTAATTGTAGTGAGTGACAGCTCATCAACATGGGTTCTTGATTGTGCTGCAACACCTTTTGGATATGGAGGCAATCAGAGAATCGCGTAACCCCAGCATGGCCTGGGTTGCACAGGAGCACAGCGCTCATCTGGCTCCAAGCCCCTGCTGTGTGCAGGTCGCCAACCAGCAGCCCAGGCTGCCCAGAGAACCCACAGGGTGCCATAAGGATCCATAGTGAGCCACAGTGATCCATAGGGTGCCATAGGGATTGATAGGGTGCCATAGGGATCCACAGGGTGCCATAAGGATCCATAGTGAGCCACAGTGATCCATAGGGTGCCATAGAGATTGATAGGGTGCCATAGGGATCCACAGGGTGCCATAAGGATTCATAGTGAGCCACAGTGATCCATAGGGTGCCATAGAGATTGATAGGGTGCCATAGGGATCCACAGGGTGCCATAAGGATCCAGAGTGAGCCACAGTGATCCATAAGATGCCATAGGGATTGATAGAGTGCCATAGGGATCCACAGGGTGCCATAAGGATCCATAGTGAGCCACAGTGATCCATAGGGTGCCATAGAGATTGATAGGGTGCCATAGGGATCCACAGGGTGCCATAAGGATTCATAGTGAGCCACAGTGATCCATAGGGTGCCATAGAGATTGATAGGGTGCCATAGGGATCCACAGGGTGCCATAGGGACCCATAATCATAGAATCACAGAACCCCAGCATGGCCTGGGTTGCACAGGAGCACAGCGCTCACCTGGTTGCAACCCCTGCTGTGTGCAGGTCGCCAACCAGCAGCCCAGGCTGCCCAGAGCCACATCCAGCCTGGCCTCCAATGCCTGCAGGGATGGGGCATCCACAGCCTCCTTGGGCAACCTGTGCCACTGCCTCACCGCCCTCTGGCTCAAAAACTTCCTCCTCACATCCAACCCAAACCTCCCCTGTCTCACTTTCAAGCCATTCCCCTTGTCCTGTCACCACCCACCCTCGTAAACATCACCCCAGGCAATGCCTGTAACCAGCAGCACCAGCACCCTCTGCGTGGCACTGAAAAGGTGGCTGAAGGGCAGAGCTACTTCCAAGCCCACCCATCAGCTGCCCGCAGGCACGCTGCTGTGCTCAGAAATGCCGCTCAGGGCTGCATGGGTGCCCTCAGGTCCGTCCATGGGGTTCGCTGGGCTTCCCTCTGCTCCTCCCAGAGCAGTCAGCGCTGCGGTCACCTTCCTTTGGCCCCTGCAGGTTTGTCCAGATGCAAGATGTCATGCAATGAAACTCAGATGGCCGCTCCCCTCTCAACCTCGCTAAAATCAATGCGTGTTTTTTCAGCAGCTGCTTCTGGTTAAGCCAGACCACGCACCTGCAGAATTGGGGCACTGGATGAAAATGCAGCATATGGCAAACGCAGAGGGGGAGACAGCATAAATGCTTGGGTTCACACTGACGTTCCTCCACTCGATCCAACTGAGCACCGCGGCGCTCTCTAAAAATAAGCCCTGAGCGCTATGAATAAACCATAAGTTAAGTGCTCTGAGAGCTGATTTACGGCCGCGATGGAGCCCAGAAGAGATGCTTTGTAGGAGGCGTTTCACAGCATCTTGCAGGAACGAGAACCAGTTTGGGGCCTGCGTAGCATTTTTAACCTTAATTCAGTGCAAGCATGGAGCTGCACTCCTAACATCCACGGCAGCACGGAGTGCCACAGGCGATTGACGACGAATGGCACGATAGGATCAGCGCAGGGAAACACGCCGCACAGGGAATAAGGACAAGAATGTTGTAAGGAACAGAGGTGCACACAGACCTATGCCTGATCCCAAAGCCCTGCAGCTCAGCAGAGGGAAGCCAGCTGAGCCGTGCCGTGCCGGGGCTGCGTCCTGCTGACAGCAGCCAACCCTCCTCTCCCCCTGCACTTGTCAGCAAAGCGCCCCCGCTGCCTCCAATCTGAGGCTTCCTGTAGATGAAATGGAGTGAGTTCGATGGAGAGATGGCAAAACCGTGCAGGGCTGCAGCACTGGGAGGGGAGGCAGAGGGTGCAGGACTTGCTCTGCCTGATGGCTTTGGGGAACCCGATGGCAGCCCACCTATAGCTGTGGGGTGCTGAGAGGATGGAGGAACCGGGCTGTTTGCAGAGAGAAAGGAGAGAAGAGACAGACCTAACCAGGGACGTTCTGGATGGAGCCAAGGAAATCCTTTTTCTTGGTGACACTGTTCAGAAGTGGACCAGGGGCCCACGGGGGCCATTGGATCGCCATCCCTTGAGGATTTCAGGACCCACTTGGACTCCTGATGTCCCTTCCCACCTGAGCAACCGCATGGCAGAATGGGACCCAGCACTGGATACCAATTTAGGTCATGCAGCAGTGATTAATCCAGGAAACCACCCCTGAGACCAGAAGTGGATTCAGCATTCCAAAATGCCGTCAGAGCCACGGCGCCCACCCTTCCTGCCAACAACCCTGGGACAAACACACACAAAGCCCTGGAATTGAAGATGCTGAGTGAAATCCAACAACCTGGGAGACAGAGGTGATCTCACAGTGTTTGTTCCTGGCACCTGGAACTGACTCTAGGACACTAACAACACAGGAAGTGGTGAAAGAAGACTTTAAAACTAAGCTGCCACAACAGGATCACTGAAAAGAAGAGCTGAAAGGGGTCAGGATGCCAGCCCAGAGAATCATAGGATTATTAAGGTTGGAAAAGACCCCTAAGACCATCAAGACCAACTGTTAACACAACCCCATCGTGCCCACTCATAGAATCCTCAAATCACTGAGGCTGGAAAAGAACCCCAAGATCCCCACGTCCAACCCCATCATGCCATCCCCCCTTGCCCACTGCCCGCGTCCCCAGGTGCCACATCTCCTCAGCTCTGCGACACCTCCAGGGATGCAGACCCCCCCGCTTTCCTGTTCCGACACCCACTCTGATTGTACCTGGCCTGACCTTACCTTCCTGGTCTCCACATCGAAGGGCTCTGGCGTGGGGGTTTTGGCTTTCTGAGGGTCCTCTGGGGGTTGAGAGAGTGCCCGTGGGAGGGCGTGGGGTCTGGAGACAGCGAAATTCATCAGAGGGTAAATGCCATTCCTGGTACAGACACAGAGAGAGGAGACAACCAAGTGAGCCCCGTCCTCCTGCCGCACGCTGAAGGTCTGTTTGTCCATGTGGAGAGCCACAGGGGGGCTCAAACGAGCGACTAAGCACGGTCCTGCCAGTGGCACGATCCATGTAATGGGATCTGGGGACGTCCCAAAACCCACCTGACGTCTTCTAAGAACTTGTCGAGCTCAAGGAACGAGACCTCAGAGTACCTGGGAGGGAAGGATGGGAATGTCACTGCGAGAGCAGGGCAGCACAGCAGCACGAAGGGCTGATAGCGTGGTCAGGGTGGATGCAGATCCCGGGCTCACAGCTTGTGCTCCAAACCCTCACCTCCACTGTGCTCCAGGCCGACCCTCACGCCGGATCTCTGCCATCACCATGTTCAGGTCCAGCTCCTTTATCTTCTCCTCCACCACGTTCTCTGGCATCAGATCTAGGGCAGAGCCAGAGAGGGGCATCAGCCGGGAGGTGCTGCAGGCTGGGCTCGGTGCTCGCTGCCATCCTCCATGGCTCCTCCATCCCCCCAGCTCTGCGGGGCCAGGAGCACGAGCTCAGTGGGGCAGGGCAGCCTCCTGTTACTCACACTGGTTGTTGATGAAGCAGTGTGCTGCCAGCAGCTTCAGGGAATGGACCTCGAAGAGCACGCGGTGGAAGAGGAGGCTGTTGGCCGTCGGCCGCTTGTCGGGGTTGAGGGTCAGGCACGACAGAATGAACTCCTGAGGGTCAAACACAGAGCATGAACTGGGAGCAAAGCCCCGTTCCACCTCTGTTCCAGTGCTTGGTAACTGCTGGCGAAGAAATCGTTCCTAATATCCAACCTGAACCTCCCCTGGTGCAACGTCAGGCCGTCACCTCTCATCCTACCTTACCTCGTAGGATGCCTGGGAGAACTGCGGAATCACACAAGAGAACGGGGGGAATAGGCACGCACACATGGTGGAATGTTTTGGGGATGAACACGGAGGGAAACAAAAGACACATGCTGCTGTCTGAGCCCCGTCCTGGGCTCATACTTCTGCCTGCCCTGTCTTCTCACCGAGACCTGTCCATCAGATATTGATAAGCGTTTATCAGATCCCCTCTTGGCCTCCTCTCCCCCAGGTGCACAGCCCCAGGGCTCTCACACTCCCCATCAGGAGATGCTCCAACCCCCTCCCATCTCTGCACCCTTTGCTGGGCTCTCCCAGCAGTTCCCAGTCAGCCCTGAACTGGGAGCCCCGCACTGGGCGCAGTGCTCCAGCAGTGCCCCCCCAGAGCAGAGCAGAGTGGGGAGAACCTCCCTGCCCTGCTGGCCATGCTCTGTGCAATGCACCCCAGGGTCTGTCGTCTTTTTGGCAATCAGGGCACACTGCTGGCTCACAGTCAGCCTGCTGGCCACCGGAACCCCCAGGTCCTTCTCTACAGAGCATGCACACGTGTCTGCATGTGCACCTACTGGGATCTGGCACCCAGCCTCACTGCTGTTCCCACTGGGACAACGTGGGGACAAGATCTCATCATGACCAGCCGAGCATGAAGAATCCTGGTGCCTTTCAGCCTGCCAGACTGCTGCCCATGCTCTCAAGAGGCTGCTCAGGGCCACCTGAACCATGTGGGTCCGGCTGCGTCCCGGTGGCTCCGTCCCACAGCTCGGCTGCCCGTACTCACCCTCATGTTGGGGTCATCCAGAGAATGCCGTGCCCGCATGATGGCCTCCTCCGAGACCCGCGTGTCACCATTGGTCTGGATCTCCAGCACTGCCATCTGGGGAAGGAGGAGCGCAGCTGTGTCTGCAGGCAGCCAAGCCCTGGCTCAGTCCTCGGGGCCCATTTCTCTACCCCACTGCTGCACAGGTGACACCAACAGCCCCACAGCCCCCTCACAGCAGCACTGAATGTCCCTGTCCCATGCGCTCCTCCTCCCTGGGGCTGCCACAACTGAGCCAAAGCAGCAGTGGATGCTCTACTGAGCCCAGCTGAGCCTCCACCTCCATCCGGGACCCACAGCCAGGTGTGGGCAGCTCCCGGGCAGCCAGCGGGCCCCACGAGGCACAACCCTGCCCCAGAAGTGGGGGTCCCGCAGGTTCCCAGGCTCCGCAGCAGCCCAGCCCCGTACCTCCAGTGCGCACATCCCAAAGGAGAAGATGTCCACGGCTGTCCCGTCGGCCTTCTCTGCAGAACCAAACCAGGAGCCCATCAGCCCAGTTGTGGTGGGATTTCTCCCCCCTCACCGGGAGCAGCCGACGTCCCCGCCTCTCCCCCTCTCCCCTCTCCCCACACACTTCTATCTGTGCCTGCTTCCCCATCCCACCGCCCAAAGCTCTACACAAACCTTTCCAATTAACTCAGAAGACCCGAGACGGGGCTCACGCTGTGTGTGCACAAGGCACAAAGGCTCCGCGCTCCTTTTTCCCACTCACTGCAACGCTTGACACGCTGCTGAGCGCTTCTGAGCCAGAACAGCGATCTGAGGTCGTGCTGAGACCTTGTTCTGAACCACCAACATCCAACCCTCAGCCCATTGCCATGTGGGCACAGCTATTCTCCCTGTGGGCACAGCTATTCCCCACAGCTCCGCACTGATCAGCGCCTCATTTCACCTACGGTGTTGGCACGACCATCCACAGTCACAAGATCTTCTCTTGGCTGAGAGCTTTAGTTCTAAAGGCACCAAACTGCAAACCCGCAGCGGCCAAACACTGAACCACAGCCCTCCCACAGCCCCTGCCCCAAACTGAGCCCCACTCACGGCCGTATTCAGGGGGAAAGAAATGCAAATTGCGCAGCTCCTCCCGCTCGATCCGGATGGGGCTCCGCAGGTCGTCTGGAAGGGCTGCAGGGGATGAGAAATAATCTGAGCCACGGCACTGCAGTGAGCACAGATGGGACTTTGGAGCGTGTCCCTGCCCGTGCACACAGCAGTGTGGACCCACTCCCCCAGGAGATGCCACCGCAGCGGCGGTTCCCCTCCTGCCTGCAACCCCAGGATCGCTCCTCGGTGCCCAATGGGGACAAAACCCACCCGGTGATGAGATGGATGTGCTGGAGGGGGAGCAGAGGGACACTCACCGTTGGCAAACACCCGGTGCCACACTGCCGGTCAGCGCCGATGCCAAAGGAGACAAGTGAGAAGTGTAGAGCAGGGGACACAAACAGGAGACAAGGTCACACCACACCTCAGAGCCGTAGAATCATTAAGGTTGGACGAACCACTAAGATCATCGAGTCCAACCCCACCCCATCCCCACCATGCCCACTGAGCACGTCCCCAAGTGCCACATCTCCATGGCTCTGTAACGCCTGCAGGGATGGTGACCCCAGCACATCCCAGGGCAGCCGTGCCAATTTCTGACCCAGCGTTTTAGACACGCTGCAGGGCCCCGGCGTCTCGCCTGCAGTGGGGACCCAACACTGAGCACAGCACCGAGGTGCAGCCTCCCCACAGCTGAGTACAGAGGGATGAGCACCTCCTGCTCTGCTGGCTGCACTGTGCCTGGCACAAGCCGGGATGCCATCGGCCTCCTTGGCCACCTGGGCACGCTGCTGGCTCACGGTCAGCATCCCCAGTTCGTTCTCTGCTACAGGGGCACTGCACACGTGTGATGCTCAGTAATCCATCAGGGGACCCTCAGCTCTTACCCCTCCCCACAGCTCCCCGCTGCCCACCCCATTCCCAGCCCCAGAGCTGCAGGGTCGCGTCCTACCGGAGCCGATCTTGATGAGCCCGTTGTGCTGGATGAAGATGGTGTCACTGGTGAGGTTGCCGTGGATGATGGGGGGCTCACAGGAGTGGAGGAAGCTGGGGGGTACAGAGCTGCCCTGAGCACGCTGCCCAACGCAGCCCGCGGCAGGACGGCGAGGCAGAGAACTTACCTGAGAGCGGACAGGATCTGCGTGCACCAGCGCTTCCAGGCCTATGGCAGAGAGCAGAGCTGTGTGAGACAATCCAGGACCCCCCTATCGCCCCACAGCTGGGAACCCGGCCCCCCCGCTGCCCTGCAGGGACCACAGCTCGAGGATGAGCCATGCGCTGTCCCAGCCGCCGCAGCCTCCCTTCCAGTCCTGGTTCAGCGAACACCATCAAAGCTGAGAACCTCAGTGCTGCGATCCTCAGTGGCAAACGCAGCTCTGCAGGGCACCAAAAGCCATGGCAGTGTGGACACACGCACCGCAGAGGGGGGCAAAAGCTCGCCGTGCTCATGGGGTCCGTGCACACGGTTTGTACCAACAGTGAATCCCAATTCTACAGCTGCACTGCTGTGGCAGCGAGCTCAGACTTGGGGGAGGGCAATGGAGTCCAGCACAGATCCCAGAATCACAGCTGGCTGATGCAGGAAGCGACCAGGGGATCATAGAGCCATGGAGGTTGGAGTCCCCCAAGATCATGTAGTCCAATCTCAACCCATCCCCACCTTGACCATGTCCCCAAGAGGGCATCCCCATGGCTCCTGATCACCTCTGGGGGAAGATGACTCCCCCACCTCCCTGGGCAGCTGTACCAACGCCTGACTCTTCTGGAAAGAAACTAATATCCAGCCTGAACATCCCTCGGAGCAATGGGAGGCCACCGCCTCTCATCCCATCACTGCTTTCTAAGAGACCCGAGACCCCTCCCAGCAGGCACAGAGCTGCTCCCTCCCGTGGATGCGCTCCTAGGGACCCTACCCTGGCATTCATGGCCTTGTGGTTTTTCTTGGTTTTCTTCAGGAACTGCTTCAGGCTCCCCGAAGACACGTATTCTGTGATGAAAATGACCTGAGGGGGGACAGAGGTGTCGGTTGCTGCCCAGCTCACGTGCTGCACCGCGTGAGGCTGAGCGTCCTGCTGCGTGTCCTGGGGGAATCACAGAGTCGTTAAGGTTGGAAAAGACCTCCAACATCATCGAGTCTGACTGCCAACCCTTCCCCACCCTGCCCACTGAACTATGCCCTGGAGTGCCACATCTCCACGCTTCTGGAAACCTCCAGGGATGGAGACTCCTCCGCTTCCCCGGGCAGCCCATGCCAATGCCTGGTCGGTTTCAGAGAAGAAATTTCTCCTCATTTCCAACCTGAAGAAGAGGAGTCCTGGGAGCAGGGTGAGCAGAGGACCCCGGGATCCCACCGCCATCCCTCCAAGCCTGGCATCCGACCCCCGCATCCCCTACCCGTGCCTTCGAGTCCTTCACATCCAGCCAGTATTTATGCAGCTTCACGATGTTGGGGTGGTCCACCAGCACCAGCTGCTCAAACATGGTCTTGATCTTCTCCTGCGTGCAGAGAAAAGACAGCTGAGATGGCAGCTCTGGGGGCACGGCAGGACACCACAGAGAGCACAGGAAGGTGGGGAACGGCTCCAGATCGGGGAAAAGCTGCTTTTGGGGTACAGAAGACACAGGGAGCCGTGGGGACATTCCTCACCACCAGGGGTGATTACCTCGTGTGCTTTGAAGGCCTTCTTGTCAGTGAAGAGCAGCTCATTCCACACCACCTCCACGCCTTCCTCCGTGTCCATGGCAAGGAAGGTGCTCTGGATGCCCGGCATGTTGCCCTGGTTCACCTGCAAGGCACAAGAATCTGTGAGGCCGCCCATGAGTGCGCCCTGCCCGCAGCTCCCACCCCACGGACAGACTCACGCCCAGCACTACATGGATGTGCACAGATCTCCCGTTCCATGATCCCCGTCCACAGGACGCTCAAGCTGGGACACGGGGAGCACCCAGCCCACTGCCTGCCCTGCCCGGCCCTCAGGACTCCCATTCCTGGGGGCTCAGGTCCCTGGGACACGAGGGCACAGAGCAAAGCCAGACATTGGGAGCAGCTCCCAGCACAGCAGGATGTCACCGTGAGAGCCTCCCAGCTCCAATTCACACCCCATGAGGACCCCGCATCCCAGCAGACATCGGGGAACGTCCCACGCTCTCAGCTGATGGCTGCAGACTCAGTGGACAGGGCAGACTGGAAGGTCCAGACCAACCAAAGGCCTCGTCAGCATCAAGGAGGCTGTGGATGCCCCATCCCTGCAGGCATTGGAGGCCAGGCTGGATGTGGCTCTGGGCAGCCTGGGCTGCTGGTTGGCGACCTGCACACAGCAGGGGTTGCAACCAGGTGAGCGCTGTGCTCCTGTGCAACCCAGGCCATGCTGGGGTTCTGTGATTCCATGATCTCAGGGTGACTGTGGCCACACCACAACCAGGGGTACATCTGATGAGCTCCCATCCCCTGAGCTGTGACCCCACACACAGCGACTCTGCCATCTCAGCTGTCTTTTCTCTGCACGTAGGAGAAGATCAAGACCATGTTTGAGCAGCTGCAAACTGCATCCAGCATCATCATCAGCGACATCAGCGGTGGGATGGAGTGCACCCTCAGCAAGAGTGTGGGTGACACCAAGCTGTGGGGTGCGGCCGACCCAGCAGAAGGAAGGGATGCCATCCAGAGGGACTGGGGTGAGCTGGAGGACTGAGCCCACAGGAACTTGACAGGACAAGGGGAAACGGCCGGAAACTGCAGCACAGGAAGTTCCACACCAATGTGTGCAAGAACTTCTTTACAGTGAGGTGAGGAGCACTGGAACAGGCTGCCCAGGGAGGTGGTGGAGTCTCCTGCTCTGCAGATGTTCCAGACCTGCCTGGATGCCGACCTGTGCGACCTGCTGTAGGAACGGCTTGGGCAGGGGGTTGGACTCCATGAGCTCTGCAGCTCCCTTCCAACCCCTACAGTTCTGTGATTCTGTGAACCCAGGGAATTTCAATAAATCCAAGTGCGAGGTCAGCACCTGGGTCACAGCAACCCCTCTATCAGTGTGAGCTGGGAGATGGAAGGGCAGAGCACGGCCCTGCCGAAAAGGATTTGGGGTGCTGGTGGTCGGCAGCTGGGCTCGAGGCAGCACTGTGCCCCCAGAGAGCCAGCCGTACCCCGGGCTGCATCAGAAGATGTCCGTGTTCAGTGCAGGGCAGTCAGACCACACGGATCCTACAGCTCCCTTCCAGCTCAAAGCACCTACGATTCCGTGAGGGGGGTTCTCCCCCCCTGCCAGGAGCAGAGCATCCCTGCACACCATCAGCCCCGCATCCCCCTCCTGGTGGATTTGACCCCTCGCCTCTTCCGGCACGGCGCGGAGCTGCCGGCGTGCGGATGAATGCAGGATTGTTCTGCTGCTGCTCGGCGCTCAGACGCTGTGGCACGGGGCGGCTCGTGGGCACGGCGCTGGGGGGGTGTGCGGCACCCCGGCTCATTGGCAGGGAACAGATGGGCGCCCGTGGCCCAGTTCCTGCTGCCTGGGCACAAAGAGCTTCTATTACTTGTTCCTCCTACCCGCGGGCTCCGCGTGCCTCGCACAGAGCTCAGCAATGGAGCCAGCTGGCCCGGGCTCAGCCTGCATGGGCTCAGCCTGCCAGGGCTCCACGCGGTCAGCTGCTCCGGTGGGGACAGGACAAGGGGTTGGCTTTAAGGTGAAGGAGGAGTGATTTGGGTCGGATGTAAAGGGGAAATCGTTTCCCCAGAGGCAGTGAGGCCTCGGCTCTGCTGCCCTGAGAAGCGTGGATGCCCCATTCCTGGAGGTGCTCAGGGCTGTGGATGGGCAGCGGAGCAGGGGGGCACAAAACCCCCTGCAGGGCTGGGGCTGAGGCTCCCTTCCAGCCCAACCAGTCTGCGGTTCTGTAATCCTTAAGGACCTTTCCAACACATCCCATTACACAGTTTTGTGATCTCATTATAGAACGGCCTGGGTTGCACAGGAGCACAGCGCTCACCTGGTTGCAACCCCTGCTGTGTGCAGGTCGCCAACCAGCAGCCCAGGCTGCCCAGAGCCACATCCAGCCTGGCCTCCAATGCCTGCAGGGATGGGGCATCCACAGCCTCCTTGGGCAACCTGTGCCACTGCCTCACCGCCCTCTGGGTGATCTCTAAAGTCCCTTCCAATCAATCCATTGTATGACCTACAATTGCATGAATGCTGGATGGAGGGCTAAGGGAAGCCCCTATGCTTCCTTCAGTGTCCACGAAGCTGCTCTTCTGCCCACCTCAAAAATCACCAATGGAAAAACACCTCATGGTCCTGAGAAAAACCCCAAGCTGACACCAGTGAGCAGCCGCTGTGTGCCGAAGGACACAGAACTCACCCTGAGCAGCAGCCCTATGCACGGAGTTCCCAGCTGCACCACTAAATAAATGCTGTCTGTGATCACAAAGGGCAAAAGCAGCTGCCACAGCCACTGCTGCCATCTCACCCTGCGCCTCTCAGGGCTCTCTCCCATCAGCTCTGTGAGGCAAAGCTCCTCCTGCACCGGACTGGGAAATTCTGTGCTCGGGTTGCTTCCAGAAAGGCCCTGGCAAGAGCTGAGGCTGCGTGGGGAGACCATGGGGACGGGTGAGCGGAGCTTATGACGGATCAGATTGCATCTTACAATAAATGGCTCCTTTTGTGCTTCTCACATTACGGAGGTTGAAACTGCAGACAGAAAAAGGTTTGGTGATGGAGCGCCGGGGCCGTGGGGGAGCAGCGGTTCCATCAGGGGGGGCTGGGGATGCTCACAGCAGCTCCCGGCCGCCCCTCTGTGTTGCAGAGATGCTGAACCAACCCAAACCTCCCCGCTGCCACCTGAGGCCGCTTCCTCACATCCATCACCACCCGCAAAAGAGACCGACCCTCTTCGCCGCAACCTCCCTTCACGTCCTTGCAGATGGGGGCTGCCCTCAGCCTCCTCTTCTGCAGCCCCAGCTCCTTCCCCTGCTCCCCTTGTTGCGTTGTCTGCTCCCTTCTCCAGCTGTATTGCTATTCTCTGCCCATGCTGAGCACTGAGGCTCCCTGGTTCTGATACAACCCCGGATGCCGTCGGCCTTCTTGGCCCCATGGGCACAGGGTCAGCTGGCCCTCACCAGCTCCCCTAAATTCCTTTCCCATCCGGATCTGCCCTCCTGTGTGCACTCAGAACAGCACCAACCCAGGGGGGGGGGGGGGGAGGCCGCCTCCTGCCTGCAGGAGCTTTACCCAAAGCACTTCCAAAATTTGGCACGGCTTTGCTGCTTTATCTCCAAGGCAACTGAGCAGGGCAAAGCCTCAGTGCTCAGCTGGGGTCACGTCAGCATCCTGGGCTCCCTGGGCAGGGGGCTGCAGGGCGGGCACAGAACAAAACTCACCATCAGCGGTGCTGATGCCTCGGTGATTTGGTGGCCAAGGGCATCTGCTGTGCCACAGGTCCCAACCCCGTGGCGTGGAGCAGAAGCCCAGCTGGGGACGTGCAGGGCACAGAGGCGGCGATGCTCACAGCGGGCAAAGCCCACGTGGCTCCCTGTTGGGATTTCTGGGGCTGAGCAGGGAATGCTGTGCCCAGGAGAGCAGAGCAAATCCCAACCCACTCCTCTGCTCTGGGATCTCATCAGTGCGGGCAAAAGCAAAATCTGCACGTGGCTCTTTAGAGACTTTGTTGGAGCTACGGATGGCACAGAGCTGCACAGGGACACCTCAGTGCAGTGCCTGCGCCCTCCGAGCAGCGCATGCAGGGATGCAGAGCTGTGTCCTGCGGTGGGGGAAATGCTGCAACACGGGAATGATGCTTCCATCCAAGTAAAAAGGAAAAGGAGCTCAGAGGGCTGAAGCCACACGGACAGCTGTGCTGCTCACTGAGGGCTGTGGGTGACAGAGAGCATTGGCTGCATGCGGAGCGCAGCTGGAGAAGACCTCCAAGATCCCCAGGTCCAACCCAACCCACCGTGCCCACCTCCCTCAGCGCCACATGCACACAGTGCCAGAACACCTGCAGGGTCGGTGACTGCCCCACTTCCCCAGGCAGCCTGTGCCACTGCATCACCACTCTTCCCAGGGAGAAACTGTTCCTAACATCCGAGCTGACCCTCCCTCGTGCGATGCGAGGCCATCAGCTCTCACCCTATCGCTGGTCCCCGGGAGCAGGGGCCGATCCCCTCCTGGCTCCAACCTCATTTCAGGGGTGGGAGACAGCGGTGAGGTCTCCCCTGACCCCCCCCCTGCCCCAGGTTGCGACGTGCTCAGCTGCTGCGGGACCTCAGCTGGCAGCAGGTGACAGCATCTGATGGCTGACATCCGCCCTCTGCTACCTGCGGTTTGCAGCAGAACAACAGCCTGAGCTCACAGTGAGGAGCAGCAGCAGGACGAGGGATCTGAGCTGCCAGATAAACCTGTTTTCTCTGCACGATCGTGTTACACAATGAGCAGGTGAAGGGAACACATGAGATGGAAAATATTTTGATCCTAGTGAAGCATTTGATCCCGCTCACACAAAAACAAGCGCTCAGCACAAGTTCAGAGCCGGGTGGGCAGAGGGCGAACAGGCTGCCAGCTGCAGGACTTAGCTGAGATGGAGGAGAGCCACGCGCAGTCACTGCGAGCTGCTGCAGCTCCACGCCGTGCTGCAATGGAGAGAAATGCTCGGGTGAACAACGCCTGTCCTGCACAGGTGGACCTCAGAGAGGAGAGAGGTGGCAGAACCACGGGCAGAAGAAGATTCATAGAATCATTAGAGTTGGAGCAGACTTCCAAGGTCTTGGAAGGTTTGGAGACCTTCCAAGGTCTCCAAATCCAACCCCGACACCGAGCCCACTCATAGAATCACAGAACCATTCAGGTTGGAAGAGGCCTCTCAGATCACCCTGTCCAACCATCAGCTCTACCACTACAGGAGCGGTGGGGGCCAGGTGCCTTTCTATCCGTGCTGAAGCCTGCCCTTCCTTCTTGCCCTGCACCTGCTGCAGCAAACCTGGGATCCCTGACCTCAGTCCCACTGCTGAGCGGGCACAGAAGTCTATTTTTCCACTGCTCAGATAAGAGCCAGGCAAACGCTGCGGGCTGAAGGCAATGCCTGGTTGGTACCAGGGCAGAGGACTTCCTCCTGAAGGGCAAAGGAATCATAGATTCATCACAAGCCATGGGGTGGTTGGGTTGGCAGGGTCCTTACAGATCACAGAGCCATGGGATGGTTGGGTTGGCAGGGTCCTTACAGATCACAGAGCCATGGGATGGTTGGATTGGCAGGGTCCTTGTAGATCAGAGCCATGGGATGGTTGGGTTGGCAGGGTCCTTACAGATCACAGAGCCATGGGGTGGTTGGGTTGGCAGGGTCCTTATAGATCACAGAGCCATGGGGTGGTTGGGTTGGCAGGGTCCTTACAGATCACAGAGCCATGGGGTGGTTGGGTTGGCAGGGTCCTTATAGATCACAGAGCCATGGGGTGGTTGGGTTGGCAGGGTCTTTACAGATCACAGAGCCATGAGGTGGTTGGGTTGGCAGGGTCCTTACAGATCACAGAGCCATGGGACGGTTGGATTGGCAGGGTCCTTGTAGATCACAGAGCCATGGGATGGTTGGGTTGGAAGGGTCCTTACAGATCACAGAGCCAGGGGATGGTTGGGTTGGAAGGGTCCTTACAGATCACAGAGCCATAGGGTGGTTGGGTTGGCAGGGTCCTTACAGATCACAGAGCCATGGGGTTGGCAGGGTCCTTGTAGATCACAGGGCCATGGGGTGGTTGGGTTGGCAGGGTCCTTACAGATCACAGAGCCAGGGGGTGATTGGGTTGGCAGGGTCCTTACAGATCACAGAGCCATGGGGTGGTTGGGTTGGCAGGGTCCTTGTAGATCACAGAGCCATGGAGTGGTTGGGTTGGAAGGGTCCTTACAGATCACAGAGCCACGGGGTGGTTGTGTTGGAAGGGTCCTTGTAGATCACAGAGCCAGGGGGTGGTTGGGTAGACAGGGTCCTTATAGATCACAGGGCCATGGGGTGGTTGGGTTGGCAGGGTCCTTGTAGATCACAGGGCCATGGGGTGGTTGGGTTGGAAGGGTCCTTACAGATCACAGAGCCATGGGGTGGTTGGGTAGACAGGGTCCTTACAGATCACAGAGCCAGGGGGTGGTTGGGTTGGCAGGGTCCTTACAGATCACAGAGCCATGGGATGGTTGGGATGGCAGGGCACTTGTAGATCACAGAGCCATGGAGTGGTTGGGTTGGCAGGGTCCTTACAGATCACAGAGCCATGGGGTGGTTGGGTTGGCAGGGTCTTTACAGATCACAGAGCCATGGGGTGGTTGGGTTGGCAGGGTCCTTACAGATCACAGAGCCATGGGGTGGTTGGGTTGGCAGGGTCCTTACAGATCACAGAGCCATGGGGGTGGTTGGGTTGGCAGGGTCCTTGTAGATCACAGAGCCAGGGGATGGTTGGGTTGGCAGGGTCCTTACAGATCACAGAGCCATGGGGTGGTTGGGTTGGCAGGGTCCTTACAGATCACAGAGCCATGGGGTGGTTGGGTTGGCAGGGTCCTTACAGATCACAGAGCCATGGGGTGGTTGGGTTGGCAGGGTCCTTATAGATCACAGAGCCATGGGGTGGTTGGGTTGGCAGGGTCTTTACAGATCACAGAGCCATGAGGTGGTTGGGTTGGCAGGGTCCTTACAGATCACAGAGCCATGGGATGGTTGGGTTGGCAGGGTCCTTGTAGATCACAGAGCCATGGGATGGTTGGGTTGGCAGGGTCCTTACAGATCACAGAGCCAGGGGATGGTTGGGTTGGCAGGGTCCTTACAGATCACAGAGCCATAGGGTGGTTGGGTTGGCAGGGTCCTTACAGATCACAGAGCCATGGGATGGTCGGGTTGGCAGGGTCCTTACAGATCACAGAGCCAGGGGATGGTTGGGTTGGAAGGGTCCTTACAGATCACAGAGCCATAGGGTGGTTGGGTTGGCAGGGTCCTTACAGATCACAGAGCCATGGGGTTGGCAGGGTCCTTGTAGATCACAGGGCCATGGGGTGGTTGGGTTGGCAGGGTCCTTGTAGATCACAGAGCCATGGGGTGGTTGTGTTGGAAGGGTCCTTGTAGATCACAGAGCCAGGGGGTGGTTGGGTAGACAGGGTCCTTGTAGATCACAGAGCCATGGGGTGGTTGGGTTGGCAGGGTCCTTGCAGATCACAGAGCCAGGGGGTGGTTGGGTTGGAAGGGTCCTTACAGATCACAGAGCCATGGGATGGTTGGGTTGGCAGGGTCCTTGTAGATCACAGAGCCATGGGGTGGTTGGGTTGGCAGGGTCCTTGCAGATCACAGGGCCATGGGGTGGTTGGGTTGGAAGGGTCCTTACAGATCACAGAGCCATGGGATGGTTGGGTTGGCAGGGTCCTTACAGATCACAGAGCCATGGGGTGGTTGGGTTGGCAGGGTCCTTACAGATCACAGAGCCATGGGATGGTTGGGTTGGCAGGGTCCTTACAGATCACAGAGCCATGGGGTGGTTGGGTTGGCAGGGTCATTACAGATCACAGAGCCATGGGATGGTTGGGTTGGCAGGGTCCTTACAGATCACAGAGCCAGGGGGTGGTTGGGTTGGCAGGGTCCTTACAGATCACAGAGCCATGGGGGTGGTTGTGTTGGAAGGATCCTTGTAGATCACAGAGCCAGGGGGTGGTTGGGTTGGAAGG